CAGCCCCGTCCTGTCTGCGAGCGCATGCCGGGCTGACCGCCCCACCGCAACGTCCCAGCATGCAGCCCTGCGCGCCTGCCGCCGGCGGAGCACCTTGCAAAGAGTATTGAAAAATGAGTGTAATTTGTCCTGTCATGGTTGGTGCCTTTAAAGCATTCGACATGTCACATGTTGTTATGTAAATGCTCTTTGAGACTGAATGCTGGAGAACAGAGAAACGGTTACAGCCAAAGACGTATTTCTGACGATTGCAAACATCTGGCAACTAAGGAGGTTGGATCACATTTGCCCCCTCTATCCGTCCACGGAGGGACGTGAGGGTTTCAAACGTGAACATCACCGGGCTGGTCTTGCTCCCCTCCCCAAAGATACCTTGTGCGTCCAGGTTTCCGACCCCTTGGCTGGGAAGAGAAAATTAGGTGTGGAGTTAGATGCAAACATTCAACGGTTCATGGAATTGGAATTCAGCCTCGTTTTAGCTGGATTTTCCAAAATGGCGTTTGCCTTCTTTTCTCCGTCTGTACGGAAATGCAAATTAATGCGTTCCCCGTTGCCAGTTTGGTGTTTCTGTGCAGGGACTTCGGTACTGCCCAGCGAATAGCAAGGAATGGTGGTGAATGCTCAAAAATATATATATATATATATAGTACTGGTACAGTGAGCTGCCATCCCGAGCTGCTATTCTTTTTGCCTTCCTGCAGTGGGATCCTCCTAGAACATTCCAGCACACTGAGAGTCAGGGAGAGAGAGCTGCCTCTAAGGCGGTGGTCCTCAAGGGACATTTGGAGTTTCTGGAGACATTTTTGGTGTCACAACAGGAGCAGGGAGGTACGATGGCATCTAATGGGTGGAGGCCAGGGACGCTGTTAGACATCCTCCAGGGCCCAGGACATCCCCTCCCCCAACACAGAGAGTTAGCAGCCCGAACGTCAATCGTGCTGCTCTGAGGAACACTCAGCTATGCCCCTGACGGCCTGGCAGGAGGCCTCCGTGGCTTGTCCCTGGTTTTCTTACCTCTGGAAAGAACATGGCTGTAATTCACAACTGCGTGAAAAGCGTTAAACGCATTTTTTTTATAGCTCCGCTGCTTATAAATCTTTGAGAAAAACCCGATTTAGGCTAGATCACCTCTCGATTATACTGACGACAAGGGGAAACACTCTTTTTTTCATTATTTATTCATGTCTCACCTAATCCAAAGGAGAGCACTTGAAATGTTTCAAAAACAAATACAGCGAGGCAAAGTTAAGACTATAAAAAAATGAAACGAGTTAGTTGGAATCGTTAGGGAGGGAAAATAAAAACAGAGAAATAAGACAAAGTCCGTCGTTTCTGGTGTTGACATTAGAGTTAGGTCAATTCCAAGCTTCTTAGTGGACAAAACACCGAAAAAAGAGAAAAAAAATGTATTGAAAAGATGGCGGGTAATCACAAAGCAAGGATGAATTGGCCCTAAATTCTCCTCACCCTCCAAAATAATGTATCTGAATGTCCTAAGCGCAGGTACCTGACCATGTAATATGAGGAATCACTGAGAGTATAATCATTATCTTCAGCCACACAGTACTGAGCCCATTTCATAGATCCAGAAAGGCAGAAATAAAGACTTGTTCTTTCCAAGGTCACGTAACCAGTCATGAAGACCAAAAAAAAAAAAAAAAAAGTTACCCGCTAGGTTCATGTAATTACTAAGGCAAGATTCATAAGCCATAAATGCAAAATTGCATGTTTATACCACATTAGTTTGTCTGAAAATCATTATCGTATCTTAGTAGCTGGTAATTGCAGCTTTCCAGTATATATACCCTTAGTATCTCTGCACTATATTGAACAGAAAAAAATAAAGTAAAATTATATGGCTTATCCTCACATGAACAATTTGTAAAAATCTCAGAATAACACACCTGCTATAAAATTGAAATTTGCTGACTTATAATGAACTTGCTCTTTGCTGGGAATAACCATGCATAACTAATTAATGCCACATTCACCAGGGAGAAACACAGGCATCTCCAAATGGTGAAACAATGTGTTTGTGACTGCTTCAGACATGATTTAATATTACTCTTCCAGCAACAGTCCTCATCATTTGGGTTATCAAGGTCGATTATGCCTCTTTGCTAACAATATTGACTGGGATTCTGAACCCACGTTTCAGACTAAGATAAAATTTTTAAGACAGAAGGAGTAGAAAGAGCAGAATGGTTAGGGATGTGTGTGCGTCCATGTCTGCAAGTTCTGTAAGAGCAAAGTGCTGGTCGAAAAGGAGGCGATTCAGCCAGTTAGTTGCCTGGGTGTTTTGATGGAGTACAAACTGGCCGGAGTGCATTGGCACCAAACGAACAAGTGTGAACGCAGCATCCTCAAAGAAGGTTTCCCTTTTTCTCTGGCTCACTTGGCTTAGGCTGCAGGAGACCATAGGGAGGCGGCACGTCCTGGAAAGAAGAGCAGAGGTTGGCTGGAGCGGAGAGGGCCCTGATCTTGTGTTGCGTAGAAGCAAGTAGCAGAGAGGTTGGGAACTCACTCCTGTTTCCAGGAAGTGACATTATCAGGATTCAGGTGGCCCAGGAGATAGCGTGCATTTCCTAGAGCTGTGTGTCTCCAAAGTCCTTGGGAGGAAGAGTTCTAGATCTGATTAGTCTTCACTCCAGTCTGGTTCAGCTTAACATCCCTTTTCTCCGCACTAAGGACACGGAGGCAAATGGCACCTTTGGAGGGATTTCTTCCAGTTGGGGACAGAGGGTGCCATATAAGCTGACAATTTCAATAAATGCGATAGGCGATAAGGTGTTGTGTGACTACCAAGGAAGGACCCTTTGCCCAGCTCGAGTGTTTAGAAAAGTGAAGAAATATATGACACATTCATGTCCAATTATTTTCTAAAATGACACGTTAAGATCTCATTCTGCAATCCCCCCTCACACTCAGGATCCCTACCTTTTCTACGATGTCACCTGGCTAACTGTATCTATCCAGAAAGAATCTATTTTTTACTATCGTCACCAGTAGGAGCCATATCTAAACCTCTATTCTTCATGAAGTAACCAATAAGAATAGACTTTGTTATTAAAATTCCAAGCACAAATTTGTCACGCATGGTTTCTATATATATATATTTTTTTTTTAACTGAGCGATTGAAAAAAAAAAATCCCACAGCACCACCATGGCTGTTTCTGTGGAGCCGTGGGTGACCCTTGGAGGTGTCCAGCATAAAGATAGTCACCCAGCAGGATTCTCTGAGGATCATCCACTCTCTTTCACTGATTTGGATTTTCCCTTTACATCCTGATATTTTCCGAAGCTCCTCCCAGCAAGTCAAGAGCATGAGTTATGGAGAGGCCCCATCTCTCATTCTCATATAGCTAAATAGAATCTTCTTGGGACATTAATATACAATTATTCCTTCAGGTGGTAGGGGTGCAGGGGCTCTGCTTGGACCATGGAGAGATCATAGAAATGAGTGCAAAACCCTAGACTGAGCCAATCAACATGGCCTGAATGAGAATGGGCGATGAGTTAGAAAGCTAGAGTCTACACAGTCTGCAGGATTGTTATAGTTCAATAGAGGCATTGACTTTGGGGCAGATGAGATTAGCCCCTGCTATGCGATCCCACACTAGCCTGGGCAGCTGACTGAACCTCTGTAGGCACAGTTATCTTGACAGGAGAGTGAAGGCAAGCCTGCCTGCATTGGCTTGAGAGAGGATGAACTAGGGAGGTCCACGTAAGGTTACAGCTTATTAAGGTCCATCATTTGATGCCTATTTAGTGAACGGTAGCTGCTGTTGTTGAGGTTGACACAGCTATTGGTCCTACGTCTCTCTCTGTAAGCATCACGTGCCCCTTTGCTAGGAACGCCCACAAGCCACAGAGAGGGCTCTGGATAGAGCGCTTCAACAGATCGTGGAATGTATAGATCGTAAATGAAATATTAACTCTTGAATGGTCTCAAAGAGAGTTGAATAGACAAGGTTTTCCATTTTACTCCTTGCCTTTGATCTCGGAGTCAGTTTTGATAGAGAAGCCACAATGTCCAGTCTGTCTTCCTATGACTCGTAGTTGGAAGAAACTACGCCTTGGGTAATTGCCATCTATTGGATCATGCAGATTGATGATTTGTGGATGCAGATGATTGATTTGTGGATGACTTAATACAACATCTGATGTTAGAAAGACAGCGGTTAAACTCTAGTCCCCTCCCAAAGGAATCTCATGAGATTGGCCTCAGCAAGTTCTTGTTCTTAATTAATTCGTTAATTAATTATGAAACAGCTACTTATCAAGTGCTTACTATGTACCATGCATATTGTATGTGGCTAGAGTATGGTAGTCTAAAGGAGCATCATAGGAGATTTTTTTAAATTATTAGTATTTCAGACTAAGCACTCAGCATCTGCTGTAGGATTTCGGTCTTGGTTCTCTACATATCTTTGAGCAATATGTTCTGTACTTTCTCGGGTAATTAATTATGACACATCTATGCACGACTTCTCTGAGTTAGCTTGAGGAGTGTTTTGAGGAGACTCTGTGCTACTTTGGGTATAGGAAAGATACGGTAGTATCCAAGGAGCAAACTTCTTAAAGTTGCCTAGTGCAAGAATGAAATCCATATGCAGATTATTTAGGGAAGCTTTCGGTCCTGAAAAAGCCTCTGATAACCAGCCTCTAGGACTGTGTGTATGCACCTTTCTGTCTATAAATCACCCATGCTCTTTGAGTTTTATTTCTAAATGTTTAATCTTCAGACCGTATTATCTGAACCTTCCCATTTAATATAAACACTGGGAACTAAAGTCACCATCACCCATTCTCAGAATACTTTCCAGAAATCTCTCTAGCTTTTTGTTTGTTTTGGATGTGAATTCTTATTCAGATTCTCAGCCAGTTTTAAAATGTAAATATTTTTATACATATATATATTATACATATATGTGTATAATATATATATATGTAAAGCCCTTAATTGGGTGCATTAATAGACAAATATCATAAATCAGCATTTCTTAAATTTTTTGGGGGGGGGGTGGAGAGAGTGAGATGTCATAGATTCCTTTGTCTAATTAAAATATGTATTTTCCCTAGGAAAATGTTGGTGTACACAAACACATACAGACACACACACATCAGGAAGTTCATGGAACCACCTGACATCTATTCAAAAACAGCTGGATTCAAACATATTAAAGAATTTAATTTATTTCCACTTGGAAGAGGCAGACAAGTAGAACAGCTTTAAATAATCTTTCCCTCAAAAATATGTGTGTGGTTGGGGTATATTATATTACACAAATAGATCATATACTTTGGGCATCTTATTCTCTCTTTTTTTTTTTTTTTAAGTAAACTAATTCGCTATAGTGCAGTCATTCCCTGCTTGCATTCACCCAAATATTTAACTACAGTTATTACCTTTCTAAGAAAATGAGATGTGCATTTGCATTATGTTCTTGCAAAAGCATATTGCAGTCCCAAAGTGAGTGACAAGCAATGCAATTACCTTTGCATGGCTACGTAGACCATCTTCGCATTAAAATTGGCTGCACCTGTTCACTGCATGAAAGCGACCCCTTTCTCTCGTGACTGGACTGTGGCTAATTTATCTATAGCTGCATACTGGAACTTGTCCCTGTCCCCTTTTGCTTACAAACCCAATATTGTAAGTGTGCCTGTTTCGCGCAGCTTAAAAAAAAAAAAAAGCATTTGGATATGTTCATGGAAACCAGCATGAGACTTTGTAAAAGATTTCCCATAACCAGAGCCCGTTTTGAATAGGATCTAGGAAGCTGACCTTCGGTATCGTCTCAAACATAAACAGGCAGAAGGTGGCATTTCATAGAGCAGTGAGTCTACTATTTTTCAGACCAGCAGTAGCAGCATCACCTGTTACTTGTTAAAAATGCAAATTCTTAGACCTCCATTCAGATCTATCTGTTCAGAACCTGAGGGCTGGGCGTGGGGCCCAGCCATCTGCGTTTTAACAAGCCCTCGGAGCGTTTCAGATGCGTGCTGAGATTTGCCCACTGCTGCCTGCCATAGCCATCTAAAGTCTGGGTTACGAAGCCAAGGCTACTTGGGCTAGAATGCCAGCTTTGTCACTACCTAGCCCTCTTTTCAATGTCTGTATACTTAAAGAGGTGACGATAGTTATTATCCATCCCAAAGGGGTATCGTGAGGATCAAGTGGGATAATGAGCACAAAACGCCTAAACTGGGGACTGACACAGAGTCATCGCTCTATCGATGTGAAGAATAGCAGTATTTGTACTTGTGCTATTACTTATAGCTTAGGGAAACACACACACACACACACACACACACACACACACACACACACACACACTCAGCACTTTGGTGAAACTGATGGCCTTTTCAAAAAGTGGCTTCATTTCACACCGCTAACGAGGACGACCGTATTGGTTCTGGGTTTTTTAGAGTTATCAGGCAGATACATCAGTCAGCCTCTCCTTCATTTCTCTCCAGGACGTGCAGGTGTTGCCCTCCGTGAAAACAAGCAGTTCCCGCCGGTGCGGTTTATCATAGCGGCCAGAATCCTTAAAAATTGGACCCTGACTTAGGAGACCAGTGCAAGAGTTTAGATAGAACATGATCCAGTGTGGCAAAAGTTAATATTTACCCAAACATGAATATATATTCGAATATGGGACAGAATGCCTTTTTCTAAATATTTTGTAGAGAGAGACCCCGTCTGTATCTTACTCGGTGAAGCCACCACCTTCTGCTGGGCCTCCAGGCCACCCAAAGCTTTTTTTTTTTTTGCACTCGGTTAGCAATTATCTATTAGCTACAAATACACAGAAAGATGGTGGCAAAGTCCTTCCTGCAGGGCCCCACAAGGAGCTCGGTCCCCTGTGGGCCCTGCAGAGGCCGCTCCCTTTGCCCGTACCTGGCCACGCCTTTGAGACTTCCGTGGCATGAGCTCCCCTCACCTCTGTGGCTAGCCCTCTTCCCCGTTTCACGTTCAGAGCGCCCTCTGCAGCATCCATCACAGCTGCCATTTCACATTTAGGCATGTGGCTTTGTGACGGTGTGTCCCACCCCCATAGGCTCCCTGAGGTAGGTACGGCGTGGGTGGAGGGCGGGTACTCGCTCTCTCTGCTCCCTGGGCCTTGGCATAGTGCTTGGGGCACAGTAAGCATTCCAACGGCAGAGGCATCGTTCCTTGCACCTTGCCAAAGTGAGCACGTTAGGGCACATTTTCTCTCTGGTTCTCTGTGTCACAAATGTGGCATGTCAGAGTCCCCAAGGGATTTTCCAGGGCCACCTCGGAGGGCAAAGCATGGCGACTACGTCACCCTCCTGCATACACATCAGGGCCCATTCTCGTCTCACTCTGGGAGCTGTTGGTACAAACAGGCTTGACG